AATCACTTTTCATGTATATATATACAAAATACATGAAAAGTGATTCTCCCTTCTCCCATCCCAATGTTCACGTTCTATGGAATCACAGGACATACAAGCTAAGACTGAAGCCTCTCATCCCATCTGCCATAAAGACAAAGTAAATCAAAGAGAAAAAGAACCCAAAGGATAACCTAATAAACATACAAGATTAGCTTTCACAATTCAAAACTAAACCTTCCTGGCTTATCTTTGAAATATGCCGTCAACCATCCTTTCTTTGCCTCTCTTATTCCGCCTCTGGTCGAAGGTTCTCATTAATTAAAAATGTATACTGCCCCAAAAAGTGAATTAGAAACAGTTTATAACAGGGTACGTAGAAACGTGCCGAGCAAAGTGAGAATTACTGTAGGCACAAATGGTTCAAAGATGAAACACCTTAAAGATCATGGAACATAAAAGAACCCTTAAAAAACATCTGGTCTAAATAAAAAGGACTCACATTTCTAGTTCTCACTCTACTGTGGCAGGCAGGGGGTGGGGGTGGGGGTTCAGACAACAAAGTTTAATGAACTTCTACATTTCTAGCACAGTACCAGGTACTTAACATACGGACCTAATCTTTCAAGAGTAACAAAATATGGAGAATGGAGAGTGATGAACAAAGTAAATCATATACCATTTTGCTTTGTTACAGTAATACTTACACTAACCAACTTGTTTTTCAAGGACCCGCTTCATCAGAAACTTCATTACCAAAAATAATTTCAGCATAGGAGGCATAAAATACATTCTGAGGACAATGATGAGCTGCTAACCAACAAAGGGGGTGACTGTGATATAAGAGTAAAAGGAGCACTAACATCAATAACAGTTGTGTAACCACTGGTAGGACATATGCCTCAATTTGCTACTCTGCAAAGCGTAAAAGTATTAATGAAATAGTCTCTTAGCTTAAAATAAGAAGACAACAGGCAGGACACAGAAGGCAAATTCAATCACCTCGAAATGTTGCCTATGATTCAAACTATCTACCTTTAATGGAAGAAGGGAAGATTAAAAATTAAAGGTCAGTTAAGGGGGGCTCAAACCCACTACTTTATAAATATAGACAGACTACTGTGCATATGCATGTTTTCTTTCTTAAACAAGTACTTTTATTATAAAGAAGTTTGTTAAAAAGATTTACTAATTGAGGTATAATGCCTAAAAAAAACACCTGATTACCAAAGCAGTGCTTTATAATCACTTAGCCACAACACTGGGAGAGAGAGATGCAAGATGACACAGTTGTTGAGCACATGGTTCTGTACTCTGGCTCAATCCTGGCTCAGCACTCAAGCTAACTATATGACCAGTTATTTCTTTCCTCCTCTATAAAATGTGGCTATTCATATGTCTTGTGGGGTACTGCAAGCATTAAATGAGTTACTATATGTAATGTGCTTAAAGTAGTCCCTGGAACACAGTAAATGCCCAATATTGCCGATCATTAAAGTGGGTTCTTTTAAAATTTAAAACACTGTTAAAATTCTACATGGAATAACAGGAACAAGATACTACTAATCAAGATGTAAACTGGTCATCAAAATCAGAATATTTTAAATAAACATTGCTTTTTATCTGGCAATCTCGCTTGCAGGAACTTCTCCTAAGGATATAAGTGTGCAAATATGTACATATAAAGATGTGCGTCACACTTTTCACTTACAAAACAACAAAAACTGGGAAACTACCCAAACATCAATGAACAGAATATTGGTTAAATAAATTATGATACCCCTTTACAGGGTGGAATACAATGCAGCCAATGAAAAGGGTAATGTACATCTATTCTATAGTTTGACATATTTGTGAGTGAATAAAAATGAAAGCACATTGAAATATCCACTGATAGTAATTATTATTGTTCACATTTGTGAATAAATAAATATGCAGAGATCTAAAAAAATGTTCCTCAAGGGATTAAGGATAGGGATAAAGATTTCAGGGAATTTTTTGCCTTTTCATCTTTGTGTATGGACATTTCCTGTGTTCCCTAGGGCAAGTTACATAACATCACCTACATCACAAGAATGTCGTGAAAATGTGCTTATATATATAAAGCACCTAGAACACTTCTGGGAGCACAGTATATTTTGAAAGTTTTTTCCATACTTCACTAGTAAACTGTCTTTTTGGTAATAATTTTATACAGAAATTTTTGTGGGAGGATGGAAAAAGGAATATGGTCATTATGTAACAGAAACCTTTTACTTCCCTACCTGACTCCCAAATTAAAACGTATCAGGAATAAATAAAGCCATATTGAGTGAAATCTCCCAATGAATTACCTTCCCCTCTCAGTATCGCAGAAACAGGACACCCGTGTTTGGCAGTGGAGTTCAAAAGACTGACAAGCCTACTCTCTAAGAAAAAAATTACCTGCTAACTAGCAGGGCTTAAAAAAAAATCTGCAAGACTGCATGGCAGTCAGCAAAAGTGACTTTTTAAATTATCAAATATGAAGGGAAAAAAACACAAGCACTAACAAACATTGTAAACCCAGTGCTAAAGAAAATCAGTTCTAAGAGAAATGACATTCAAGTGACACAGAAACGAATACAGAAACTTCCCTCCAGAACCTCAGAACTTGGGCTTTATTCCAAAGATGAACTCTCCTTCACTTACAGATAGATGCCATATAACATCCAAGAGAATCATAACGTCACCGTCATAGACCTAAAAAGTCCACATTTTTACTCAGGATATCGGTTTTGCAAGAGATAGGGAGGAACCCCATATACATATTATGGGACCACTAATCTCTAAAAAGCAATTAAGTGGTGCACATACATACATTTACGAGTAAGTAAATTCATTCCCTCCCAGTATATTTTGTTCCAATCTGAACTCTTGTGAGAGACATCAGTTGCATCTTAGCCAGATGACAAGCAATTTATTTTTGCTTCACAGGAACCGAGAACCAAGTGTTCCCTACTTTAACAACCCATTATGAATGTCATTAAAATAGGCTGTAATGACTCTTAACTACAGTCATGGACTATGTGCTGTAATGGAAAAAGCAAGAGGCTAAGAGTGAAAATGAAAAGATCAAGGTTCTAGACCCAGCTGTAAACCGTGTAAGTTTGCGCAAGCCAACTTAACAACTCTGGGTCTCCATTTCTAAGTCATTTCCAGCTCCAACGAGTCTGTGACGTGTAGCTCAAATGAGCTAAAGTTTTGGGGAGGGAGAGGAGGCAGCCTAAAAAGAGAGAAAACTAACGTCTAACACTGTAAACTAAAAAACCTTACAAGATTAAAATGTTACATACTGCTGCTTTCCATACTCGCTACAGGAGAAAGTATTAAAAAGTACATCCTATCCTGACTTATACTCCACTAACACTGAACAGATACCTGGAAATCAATCCAAAAGAAAGACTTCGGGTGAAGAGAAATTCATAAAGTTACACAGATGACTCGACACAGTGATTCTGTACGCGTACAACACACAATAAAATGATAACATTATGCAACGCATTTAGATATTCAGACTTTTGTGTTTTTGCCTGACTTATCCAGATAAACTGTACCTCAGGAATGAAAACACACACCGGAGAAGAAATGATTTTGACGCAACTGCTAAAGCCAATTGTTAAATTCCCCTGTACCTTTAAGGAAACGCTAAGGGAAAGGAATCGGAAACACCACGAGTCTGTGTAATTATTTCAACTCCCAAACAACCTCCCCCACGGGCGCTATTTTGCCATAACTACTAAAAACGGTTTTGAAAAGGATCGTGTTTCAAAAGCTGCTTATGAAGGTGGGCCGGGGGGAGGGGGTTGTAAAAAAGAAAAACCGAGAACTTATTGGAAAAAATGAATGCCTTCTAATGCCTATCCCACAGATGTTCAGTAACCACTATTTTAGCCAAAGCAGGAAATAAAGGAGATGGCGGGAGCGTAGGCAGAGAGCGGAAGTTTGCCTAGTATCGTCTTTGAAGTGTTTGAATGGACCGAGGCACGCGTTCTCCCGCCAATCTATAAACTCGGTGGCTCCAAACCAGCAGCTTCCAGCCCATCAGGTGTCCTCCACGTTTTCCTTTCTCCTGGCAGGCCCTCGACTCTCCCTTCCCCCGAAAACTCCCGCCACCCCCATGCCAGCCTACACGAGGATCCACGCGCGCCTCTCACTTTCCGCCCTCCGCCTCTCCGGTACCGGGCTCGCAGCCGCCCTCCAGGGCCCTCTCCCCCTCGGGCCGAGGAGTACCTGGTGCCCTTGGAAGTGAACACTCCCGCCGCGCCCTCCCCCACCCTGCTCCCCGGCTCCAGGCCTTACCCGGGAACCCAGGCCACGCGGTCCGCGGTTCCCTCCCGCCCGCTCCCCTTGAAGTGACTCCTGCTCGGTTCGGCCTGGGGAAGAGGCGCCCTCGTGGCCACGGCAGGCCTCTCCCCGCCTCCCGACTGGGCCGGGCGGCGGCCGCGCCACACATCCCGCGCCCTTGCCGAGCCGAACGTCCGGAGTGGCGCCGCTCTCCCCCCGACCCGCCGCCAGCCAGCCGAGCCCAGAGGGAACAAAGGGTCGTGCTCCGGGGCCCGCTCGTCCAGGCCGGTCCTGGCCCGCTCCCCGCCGGGACCCCAACAAAGCCCGAGCCGCTGCCGCGTGCCCCCGGCCTGGCTTACCCATCGGTCCCCGCACGCTTCTTGCCGGAGGGGTAATCCTCCCCCAGGTCCAACCGGTGCCGCTTGGACATCCTCGGACTCTTCGAGCGGGCGGTTGTGAAGAAAGATACAAAGAGAAGCTGACGACTGTGTGGGCGCAGTCGCGGGCAGCTACTTAACTCTGGAGGACCCCTACCCCTCCCGCTACAACAGCTTACACCGTGCGGCCGGAACCAGGAGCTAAAATGGCGGCAGCGTCGAGGGCTGGGCCTGCGCGCGCGCTTCCGCAGCGTGCTCTGCGTGCATGCGTAGTGCGCGCGCACGCATCGGAGGGGGAACTCCAACCCCGCCTGTGGCCTCTTTGGCTCGCCCTCCTTCCGCCCGGCGGGTGCGGGCGCTTTCTGCCGTCTGTGCGCCTGCTTCGTGGGGCGAGCCCTAATGGCCTCACACCCGTCTGATATCGGAAATTGAAAGGCGAGAAAGTCTAGCCCTGGTTAGGAAGTCCTATCCATCTGTATTACCCTGGCTTTAGGGGAATCTGAGACCCAGAGAGGTTGAGAAACGAATCAAGATCATACAGCTGATAAGGGACTGAGCCAGAATTGGAACCCAACTGTTTTGTAACTCCAGATCTTAGAACTTTCAGCCACTGACCAGACACTCTCAATTACAGTGAAGAAACAGGTGAGAAAAATCTTGAGATTTGCCGTAATCCTTTTTGCCCTTATTTTACCCAACACGGACAACATGCGCTCAACATTGAGGTTTTTACTGGAATAGAAAAAATTGACAGTAAGTTTATAAAAAGCTTTTTTTTGTCTGTGTGCCTATTATAGGCTTTCACGGCATTGACCCTACCTCTGTCCTCATTCTTATAGTAACCCAGCAATGTGGAAGCTGAGGCTGAGGGAGGTTAAGAAGCCACACAGCCATTAGGGCTGTCTCTAAAGCCATAGCAAAGTGAGGGGGTAAGATGACTCTTGACTTTTGTAGATCTCTCCCCCTAGAACTTATCTGCTTGCTCAGTTGCACGCATTCCCGGAAGAAATGCACAAGAAAAAGACCTATGGACCAACCCAAGCTCAGTGATCTATGCAGTTGGTGAAATGGCTGTTTGGATGCCCAGGAAGACCATGTTCAGGGTCTTATCGCATCCTCAGAACTGCAGTCGCTAAGATTAAATACAACTTTAATATTGCAACTGATAAAGAGGGTTTTTATTTTTTAACCAAATCCGCATTCCAAAGTCAGTGCAAAGAAAAGTGAATACCTTCACATAAAATATTCAGTACAGGGGCCAGCCCGGTGGCACAACGGTTAAGTTCGCAAGTTCGCTTCCTTGGCCCCGGGTTTGCTGGTCTGGTTCCCGGTGTGGACATGGCACCACTTGGGAAGCCATGCTGTGGTAGGTGTCCCACAAATAAACTGGAGGAAAATGGGCACGGATGTTAGCTCAGGGCCAGTCTTCCTCAGCAAAAAGAGGAGGATTGGCAGCAGTTAGCTCAGGGCTAATCTTCGTCAAGAAAAAAGAAAATTCAGTACAACTTTCAACCCTAAATGTACATTAACAGTACGTGTACTGACTTTTGTCAGAGATCCTGATGCATAATCACTGAGTTGTAAACCTGGAAAAGAATTTCCAGCTGGTTTTCTCTTTCTGCATCATTTTACATATGAGGAAACCTGAGCCCCTAGGTCATGCCCAAGTTCACACAGCCCATCAAAGTCAGAACTAAAATCCAGATTTCACTCTATGCCAATCCCAAGTCTCCAGGTTCCTGGTCTGAGGGCTTCCGTAAAGTACTCTAAAGTTTTGGAGAAATAATGAAGGAAAAGGTTAGAATTCTACCTGCAGAAGTGCCCCCACCCTAAGAGGCATTAGCAAGGACACTTGGTAGAGGAGGACTGGAATCAAAGAGATGAGACTTCCTCCTTGGGCTTAGGGGATATCTAAAGAAAGCTGTTACCCGAATGACTGAAGAACGGCCATATTTACCAAAGGATGGTGCCCTTTCTGGAATCTACAACAAGAGGAACCAAGGGCCAGAATCTGCCAGGATGTTAACACTCCCTGGGAGGAGAGGCAGAGTTCTGGGTCTAGATGACTCATGCTAGATTTTCAGGCTGAACTGTCCCTATGGCAGAGAAGAGCTATTCATCAAGGTCCCCTCCAGCTTCCTAGAAATGTTGCCAGAGAATATTTCCTTTACTGTTATTCTTTGTCTACTAGACAACCCTCTGGTCTGTTAGTTGGTCTGTGGCATGAATTTATTCAAATAGAGAGAATGTCTTATGCAGCTAACCAGCTCCAGGTGTCAAGCCAGAGGTGACTCCCAACCTAAATTAATAAACAATAATGATTATGGCAAACATATGTAAAACACGTACTGGCTACAAGACACTGTTTATTATATATTTTAACCTGCTTGTTTCTTACGGCATCTTTGAGCAAGGTGCTATGAGTTAGACTTGTTTACAGGTGAGAAAACTGATGTGCAAAGAGAATAAGTATTCTCACCAAGATGACAGTTCTGGGATTCATTTCAGATAGTTTGTGTGTTTAAGTGCTATGCTGTGCTGCTGCTGGTAAATAGATGTTCTTATTCCACATTTTTCTCCTAGGGTTTGGTTATAGAGGATAAGTTCCCCTACTCTAATAAACTCAATGTGAACTGATAACTGAAGTTTCCTCATTGTCCAAGGGGAGGGCTCATTTAATAGAGCTCTTGATGGACAAGTCAGGATTTGGAGGATTGGAGCCCAATCTGACTCCAGAGCAACACTATTAACCACTACAATGTGTCACTATTATCTATGCCTTAATTACTTCACTTACTTATTCACTCAACAAGTGTTTATTAAACCCCCATGCCAGGCATTGAGTTAAGAGCTGGGGAGAGAGGAAAGAACAAAATAGCCATAGTTCCTGCCTTCATGACACTTATCAGAGGGAGAGAGACAGGCATTAAACAGATAAACACCTAAGTAACTATATTGTTACAACTCTGCTAAGAGCTAAAAAGACCATCTAAGAGGGATGGGTACTGTGAGAGCATATGACAAGTGGCCCTGATTCAGAGTGAAGGTTAGGGGTGACCTCTCTGAGAAAGGGACATTTAAACAAAAACCTAAAAACTAAGTACAAATCAGCAAGGCAAAGAGGGAGAAAAGCATTCCAAGCAGAGGGAACAGCCTATGCAAAGGCCCTGAAACTTTAAAATGTCAGGTGCAATCCATAGACAGAACAATATGAGTACAATGAGATGAGGAAGACATGATCCTTCAGATGCAAGAAGGGGCCATATCATGCAGAGCTTGAGGATTCCTGCTAAGGATGTTGACTTTGTCCCTCCCAAGAGCAAATAAGACATCAAAAAGATTTAAGTGGGAAAACGATGTGATCACTCATGAGGATTTGACCAGGATCAACCCGCCAATCTCACTCTTTGAATTCTCTTCAGCTGAAAAATGCTTACAAATTCAAAAGAATCTTCACTACTGCTTTTAATCACCCTATTCCCACTCTACCATTTAATAGATAGAAATAGTTACAAAGTGTGGTGGGCACTGTGATTTGGCATGGAAATCCTGCTTTAAGAATGAAAAACATTGCAAGATGGCGGAGTGAGAGGTCTTCTTTGTCTCTCCCCCGTCGAATCTACAACTAATTGGACATTCACCAATTAACAAAGGATATCCAGATAGCATCTCAAGACACCTAAAAGTCTCGTGCTACTACACATTGGAAGGTGGATGGACTTCCCCCCAGGAGGAGGTGGAAATAGGTGAAAACTCTCCGACCCCCGACCCCTGACCCCCGGACAGCCTAGTTCCTGCAGGAGGCTCTCTTCCAGTGGACTCCCCCATAGCATCGCCACACACCAAGGGCAGGAGTGTGCACTCACCAGCAGAGCGACAGTGGAAACAGGTGACAACACCCCTACCCAAGCCCCCGGCGATCACACCTAAGCCCAGGGGGAAATCCCCAGGGTCCCACACCCACTGGCAGGGAAGGCCTCTGCTCGCCATTAGCAGGGAGGCCCCACCCAGAAGCCAGAACAAAGAGAAGCTCCTGGCGGGCCCAGCACAGCACCAGACCGCAAGCTGCCACTGAGCTCACGGTCTCCGGCGCACAGCTCGGTGCAGGGGGTGCTCGGACTTCCCATAGACATGCTTGGGGACACGGTTGGAGCTCCAGCGCCTGGCTCTGTGGCACGGGGGAAGGCTCCGGGGTCCCACATCTCCCTGGCAGGGAAAGCCTCTGCTCGCCACTAGCAGGGAGGCCACGCCCAGAATCCAGGACAAAGGGAAGCTCCCGGTGGGCAGATCCCCCGGGGCGGCTCCAGGCCGCAAGCTGCCACTTGGCTCACGGTCTCCTGCACACGGGTCGGTGCAGGGGGTGCCCAGACTTCCCATGGACACACTTGGGGACTGGGTGGAGCTCCAACACCCAGCTCTGTGGCCCAGGGTCTGCTCCAGGGTCCCACACCCACCCAGCAGGGAGGGCCTCTGCTCGCCATTGGCAGGGAGGCCCCGCCCAGCATTCAGAACACCAGGAAGCTCCCTAGAGCAGAATTCCCCACAAGGCAGCAGCTTACAAGCCACCACCAGGCCCACGGACTCTGGCCGTGTCCCAGACAAGGCAAGGGGCTCCCAGAGATCCCGTGAGAGTGAAGTGGGGCAGAGTAGAGCTCTGGTGAAATGGCTACGTAGCCCAGGGGGGATCTCCAGGTTCTTACAGCAGCCTCAGCAAAAGCCTCTGCACAGCACTAGTGGAGAGATCCCGACTGGTGATCACAAGGCAGGAAGGCCCTGGGGCAAAAGCAGCACAGGTGAGTTAACAACAGACTGCAGAAGTTACCCATAGCTCTGCTTGGACCTATAGTGGACAAGTGTGATCTGGTGGGCTCTGTTAGGGACAAATCGGAGATTATAGGTGATCCTGCTCCTGGCTGATGGGAAAGCCTACAACACTGCTGCAGACCACAAGGAGGGAGCGCATCTAGGTGGACTGCAGCAGTAGGCACCAGCAGCCTGAGGCCCCCTTGCGATTGCCCCCACAACCAACGAGGGACCCCACAGGACCACTGTGACTACGAGGAGGGGTCCAGGCCCAGTCAGTAACAGCTGACAGGGTTCCTGGTTGGGGCAGTCTAAACAGCTGCCCCCCCACACACACATCAGACGCAACAAGTGGAAGCAGCAGCTAAACTCGATGTCTATGAGAAGACAAATCCATGCCATCAAGCAGTATGAAAAAATATATTAAATCTCCAGAACAGAAGGAAAATGATAAGCACCCAGAAAACAATCCCAAAGACAATGAAATCTACAACCTAAATGACGATGATTTCAAAACTGCCATTATGAAAAAACTCAACGACCTAAAAGAGAATTCAGAGAGACAACTCAATGAGTTCAGGAGCTATGTCACAAAAGAGCTTGACACTATAAAGAAGAACCAATTAGAAATACTGGAGATGAAGAACACAATGGAGGAGATTAAGAAAAATCTGGACTCTCTGAACAGTAGGGTCGATAATATGGAGGAGAGAATTAGCAATTTGGAGGATAGGAATATAGAAATGCTGCAGGCAGAGGAGGAGAGAGAATTAAGACTAAAAAGAAATGAAGAAACTCTCCGAGAATTATCCGACTCAATTAGGAGATGCAACATAAGGATT